TGAATATACAAATTTCTTTTGTTCAGAGACTCACAATGAAATTTGATATAGATTAATTCTTCCTTTCACACTTTCCCCAAAAAATTGAATTTAAACGGAGATTTTGACTTGGAGAGGAAACGTCTTAAATTAACAGCAAAAATATGATTTTCTCTTTTAGTACATATAGTTCAAAGGTAATTTTCTTAAAAACAACTGCACCTAGATCTATGAATTATTCTGAGAATTTTGGGGAAATTTTGTGTAGATTAATTCTTCCTTTGACACTTTTTCCAAAATATTAAGTTTTAATGGAGTTTTTGACTTGGAGAGGAAACATGTTACATTAACAGCCAAAAAAACATCAAACGTATAAATGTTCCCTTTAGTATATAAATTTCGAATTAGATTTTCTTAAAAACCATTGTACCTAGATATATACTTTGTTCTGAGATTTATAGTGAAATTTTGTGTAGAATATTTCTTCCTATGGGAGCATCCGCCAAAAATCAGATTTAATACAACTTTCAGGCGTCAACTCGAAAAAAGTACGAGGAAAAATTGATTAACAAATTTAGCGAATATTTTCGGTTTTCGTTTGGGAACATTGATGCAAATATTTTTTGAATATGCAATTGAAATAGAGATTTCTTTTCTTTGGTGACTTGAAGTAAAATTTGATGAAGAATATTCTTGTCTTTGACATCGTTCCTCCGAAATGCTACTTTGTTGGAGATTTTTGCAAAAACTCCCACAAAGTATGGTTTTAACCCTAAAATGTGTTTTTAATATATTCGAATTTCTAGTGTTTCGGTAAGATTTAGACTCTGGATGTCTTCTAGGACCTTTAGTAAAATTTGATGACAAATAATTTTGTAGAATATTTTGACTGGCTACGTTGCCGTTTAAAGGCATATTTTTGCACAAACTCCCACAAAGTATGGCTGTAACCCTAAAATGTGTTTTTAAAATATGTGAATTTCTGTTGTTTATATAAGATTTAGACTCTTGACGTCTTCTAGGACCTATAGTAGAATTTCGTGACAAATAATTTAGTAGAATATTTTGAATTGCTACGTTACCGCTTAAAGGGAGTTTTTAACCATATTTTTGCACAAACTCCCACAAAGTAGGGCTTTAACCCCAAAATGGTTTTTTAATATATGTAAATTTCTTGTGTTTATATAAGATTTAGACTCTTGATGTCTTCTAGAACCTATAGTCGAATTTCGTGACTAACAATTTTGTAGAATATCCTAACTGGCTACTTTACCGTTTAAAGGGAGTTTTTAATCATATTTCGAAAAAGGCCCAAAAAGACCCCTTTGTTGACTCGCAAGAGGGTTAAAGTTGTCTAACAAAATATTCCTGGTATTTTAATCTGCAACTTTGCCGAAGACACTATATACCTAAAATGCATGGATTCCGAGGAATCTTCATCAGCTTGCTACCAACCCATTTAAAGGAGTTTTTAAATTAAAAAAAGCCCAAAAAGACCCCTTTCTGGACTTGCTTGAGGGTTAAAGTTGTCCAACAAAATATTCCTGGTATTTTTATCTGCAAGATTGCCAAAGACACTATATACCTAAAATGCATGAATTGCGAGGAATCTTCATCAGCTTGCTACCAACCCATTTAAAGGAGTTTTTAAATTTAAAAAAAGACCCAAAAAGACACCTTTCTGGACTTGCTTGAGGGTTAAAGTTGTCTAACGATATATTCCTGGTATTTTTATCTGCAATATTTCCAAAGAAACTATATACCTAAAACGTATGGATTCCGAGGAATCTTCATCCGCTTGCTACCAACCCATTTAAAGGAGTTTTTAATCAAATTTTCAAAAAAGGCCCAAAAAGACCCCTTTGTTGACTCGCATGAGGGTTAAGGTTGTCTAACAAAATATTCCTGGTATTTTTATCTGCAAGATTGCCAAAGACATTATATACCTAGAATGCATGGATTCCGAGGAATCTTAATCCGCTTGCTACTAACCCATTCAAAGGAGTTTTTGAATTTAAAAATAGGCCCAAAAAGACCCCTTTTTTGACTTGCATGAAGGTTAAAGTTGTCTAACAAAATATTCCTCGTATTTTTATCTGCAAGATTGCCAAAGACATTATATACCTAGAATGCATGGATTCCGAGGAATCTTCATCTGAAAATTTTTCCAAAAGTGTAATACGAAAATTTTTTCAAAAGTGTGGAAGAGGGGGGATCTTGCCTCCCTCCATTTGGGTTAATTTGCGATGTAAGCTTTCATACACGTGTCTTCTTTTTTTAGCACTACTTTCAAAATCTGCTGGATTTTTGCCATAATTAATTAAGTTTTGTTGCACAGTGTTATTTTTCTGGTTTTTTAAGAAAATTGTTTCTCCTCCTTTCCAAATTCCCAGATAAAAAATATCCTATTTTTTTTAAATTATTAAATATTTACGCTCCCAAAATTGAGTTAAATCCTCATAAATTTTCACCCACTCATTTTCAGGACATGTGTTTGTCCTTTATTCAATTGCAAAATGTCATTCAAGTGCATTAACTATATTTTTCCTATTTCCTTCCCGGCAAACTGGCTGTGAAATTTTCAAAGTTCACCACCCTCACCCGGGTGGGAGGGTGTGTGTCTGTGTGTGTGCAATTTTGTCAAAATTTAATATGTGTCTCCTCTCATGCACTCACACACACACAATGATCAATGTTGCCAAGTGTCAGTGAAAGTGTCAAAAATGCTTGATAACATTGTGCAAATATGATTATGATGACGATGATGTTGGAAAGCAGCGCATACACACACACATACACTCGCACATACAACCTCCCTTACATATACCCCAATATGGAAGATATTAGTGCCTTGCAGATGGGATGCTCTTCTCGGTAATTAGCTAGAATATTGCTGCATTTAATTAAAAATTTTGTCAAATCATCGCTCCATGAACGATGATTCCGTATGCCATGGCTTGTGGAAAATTTTTGTGCAGGAAATTTTCTGAAAAATAAATTAAACAAAAATGGAAGAGGATGTGTAATGCAAATTTATTTTGCGATAAATTTACAAGGGCCTTGAAAAAAACTGGTGACAAATGAGGGTTATATTAAATTATTTTGGAATTTTTTTGGAAAATCTCAAAAAAAATCTAAAGCATTTTCAGAACATTCCCTTTGAGGGAAAATGTCAATGGAGGCATTTTTTTTAAAAAAAATAAATTTTAAGTATTTTTTTTTTCAGAAAAATTGCCTTTTGAAGAATTTGAAAAATAAGTTTCAAGAGAATTTTTTAAATGTCCCTTGGAAGAATAATTAGAAAAATATTCTTTTTTTTTTTGGAAAAAAAAATTCCTTGAATATTTTTTTAAATAAAAAATTGTCTCTCTTAGGCTGTAGTAACCATTACGAACTTCAAATACCAGATTTTAAACACTTCCGGTAAATAATGTCGCTAAAATCATAAAAATACCGAATATCGGGAGGTACGGTTATATGGGGGCTATACGAAGACGTGGACCTACACAGACAATTTTCTGTCTTAGGCTGTACCACCCATTACGAACTTCAAATACCAAATTTTAAATAATTCTACTGAATATTGTCGCTAAAATCCTCAAAATACCGAATGCCGGGAGGTACTGTTATATGGGGGCTATACGAAGACATGGACCTACACAGACAATTTTCTGTCATAGGCTGTAATATCCATTACGAACTTCAAATACCAAAATTGAAATAATTCCGCTGAATAATGTCGCTGAAATCATCAAAATACCGAATATCGGGAGGTACCGTTATATGGGGGCCATACGAAGACGTGGACCTGCACAGACAATTTTCTGTCATAGGCTTTAGTATCAATTATGAACTTCAAATACCAAATTTGAAATAGTTCCGCTGAATAATGTCGCTAAAATCATCAAAATACCGAATATCGGGAGGTACCTTTATATGGGGGCTATACGAAGACGTGGTCCTGAACAGACAATTTTTTGTCATAGGCTTTAGTATCCATTACGAACTTCAAATACGAAATTTGAAATAATTCGGGGAGAAAAATGTCGCTAAAATCATCAAAATACCGAATATCGGGAGGTACGGTTATATGGGGGCTATACGAAGACGTGGACCTACATGGCCCATTTTCAATACCAAAAGTCTTGTGGACATAATATACATTTGAGTGAAATTTTAGCAACCTGCATTGCTTCGTTTGGAAGCTGGGGTGATTTCCAGAGACAAACAGACGGACGGGCGGACCTCGCTAAATCGACATAGACTTTTATGCTGATCAAGAGTATATCTATACTTTGTGGGGTCTAAAAGATATATTTCGAGGTGTTACAAAGGAATGACGAACTTAATATACCCTCCATACTATGTATGATGGAGGGTATAAAAACTACAGAGCTGTTAAAAAGAAACTAACAGCTAGAGGACAGCTACAAAAATTAGGTTGGGAAATTAGACTACAAATTAATTTTAGCTTAGAAGGGGACATAGTTGACAATCCCTCCTTTTTGGAAGAATCACAAATTCCAAGAAATGTCACATTTTTTCATAAAAACTTTAACCTTAAAAATTCTTTCAAAAAAATATTTTTTTTGAAATATTTTTTTAAAATTTTTTCCTTCCTTAAAATCATTTTTTAAAAATATATTCAAGATTTTTTTTTAATTTTAAGACTTATTAAAATTCCCAAAACCTTTTTCACACTCTTTAAGTTAAATCATTGAAATTTGTCGATTGATCGGTGATTTCATGATTTTTTTTTGCAACAGCGCCATCTACATTTCAAGATTAAATACTACACAGAAAAGGGAGTAGAAAAGACTGACTACTAGAGGGCGTTACAAGGAAATGTTTCAAAGACTAGAAATTATTCAAAGTTTTAGGGGAGGGAAATATTGAGCACTTTCCCCCCCGCCCCACCCTTTAAAGGAGTTCCAGGTTAATAGAAAAAAAAGAACACCACATTCCCGCACAAGAAATACAGTTGATAGGAAGTAGTAGTTGTTGTTGTTGGGAACACAAACCTCATCGTTACGTTTCGTTGACTGCTGGCCACCCGCCACTTGGGGCTGGGGAATTTGTAGGCCATGTTGTTGATATCCCTGTTGCTGTTGCTGCTGCTGCATTTGAAAATCTTCAAAGGATCCATTCAGGGACATTGTCGATATCAAAGAAGTCTCCTGCTGTTGGCCATTCATCATGGTCGTCATCATTCCGCCGCCACCCTTTAGGGATTGTGGCGATAGACTGATATCGTGATTTTGCATTGATTCGGTATTGGAATTGTTGGTGGAATTTATGCGAGTCAGGGTGGTATTGGCTGTGGAGGCAGAACTGCAGGAGGAGATTTGTGAGCTAAGCGAGGAAAGATGGGCAGGTGGTGGATAACGTGGTGGGGTCTTGACCATTTCAATGAAGCTATCCGGTACATCGACTGGTAGCTCACGATGTTTGATGGGGGTGGGAAGTAGATTTTTTGAGGCCAATTCTTTGAGCTCATATTCGGGAGGGGGTGTGGAACCAGAACTGGTAATGCTGGTCAGTGAATCTCCCCCGCCATTTAGAAGCATGGCGGCATTGTTTAAGAGATTTCCATTTGCCGCTTTGAGGGCATGGCTGGACGACGATGTCGAGGAAGAGGAATTGGAATTGGAATGGGAATTTGGATCCTTGCCATTTAGCTCATTGTTGTTGTTGTTGTTGTTCTGCAGCTGGCGATAGGATATGGAATCAAAGGACTCGGAGGATTTCTTACTCAACACCTCACTTTCATATGTGGAGGAGGATGAGTGCGAATTCGAACCCTTGCGATAGAGGGCATCGACCATCATCAAATCCAAATCTTCGGGTGAGGACAACGTTCCCCCATTGGGGTTATGGGCCACTGACATTTTCGCCTTACCCATGACCAGGGCATTGTTCAATTTCTGCTGTTCCATGCCATGCAGTTCCAGGCAATTTTCATAGTTTTCAATTTGATCCAGTTTCAGTTGTTGTTGGGCATTGTAGGCATTTTGCATTTGCAGTTCGGCATTGGTGTCATTCAGTTCACCCAGCGAGCAGGTGGTGAAAAGCGAGGCCGTGGTGTAGTTACATGATGGATGGTGATGATGATATTGTTGTTGTTGTTGTTGTTGTGATGGGGAATAATTATTAATAATTAATTTTGTATTATTTTGCATTAGCTTAGCGGTACATTTGGGCAGGGTATTATTCAAATGGTTTTTATGGGTGAGCAGTGGTGAATTTTGATGACCTAAACCACCCGATTCCGAATATAAAGGCTTGTGCAATGATGATGAGGATGAAGAGGGGGATGAGGTTGTGGTTAGGGTGGTAATGGTGGTGGTTATAATGGTGGAATTCAAACTTTGTGTTAGTGTGGTAATATAGCTAGATTGGGATAAGGTGTGGTGAATTTGTTGGGTTTGTTGGTGTTCGTGCTGATGATGAAGATTACGTTGGTGTGGTAGTGTATTAGATTTCTGTGTGGCTTTGGGTGATAATTTCTTCTTGTGTTTGGGTCTTATAACACTTCCTCTAACTAACGTTACCTGTGGTGGACGGGGTGGTGGATATCGTGGCGGTGTCTTGTTGCGTGCTATAAAATTATCTGGACAATCTACAGCCATCTCGCGATGAGGTCCTTTTGGGGGTAGATGAAGAGATACAAAATTAATTTCATAAAATTTTTTGATTTATTTCGAACTCACCATTATCTTGATTGATGGACTTCAACATGGTTGTGTACATTTCCTGATCAATTTCTTGTGTATCTTCGTTTGGCTGTCGTATATGCGGTAAATTGTTGTAAACATCAGGTAGACAGGGTTTCAAGTCTTCACTGTCCAAGACCACTATGCTGGAACCGGATCTACGCCGGGGCCTGGAAAGAGAAACAAAGAAAACATATTTAAGGTTAATATAAAATTAAAAAAAATAAAAAAAAAATTAAATGAGAGGAAATGAGAGAAAAAATATAAAAGAGAGAAATTTCGAAAAAAAAAATAAACCACCCATATCGTCTCAATTTGGAGCCAAATACTCCCCTTAAAACTTATTTTAGCTGATTGGTGTCAATGGAAAAAATATTCTGCATCAAATTTCACCATAAGTCACCGGCCACAAGAAATCGGTATATATAATATATAACACCAAAAAATCGGTTCAAATAAAAAATAACCATATTTTTGTAATTTTTTCAAAATGAGGCATTTTTGGAAATAACGGTTTACATTAGAAGCGAAATGTTAAAGAACAAAAAATTCCCTATTAAATTTTACAAAGGGTCACCAAATACCAGAAATCGGTATATATAATATATATCACCAAAATATGGGTGCAAATAAAAAATAACCAAATTTTAGTAGGTTTTTCAAAATGAGGCATTTTCGGACATAACGGTTCACATTAGAAGCGAAATGTTAATGAACAAAAAATTCTCTATTAAATTTCACTATGGGTCACCGAACACAAGAAATCCGTATATATAGTATATATCCCCACAATATCGGTGCGAATGAACAAATTAAAAATAGCCGACTTATAGTCGTTTTTTAAAAAAGTGTTTTCTAAATGAGGCATTTTCAGCCATAATGGTTCACATTAGAAGCGAAATGTTAATGAACAAAAAATTCCCTACTAAATTTCGCTATGGGTCACCAAATACAAGAAATCGGTATATATAGTATATATCCCTACAATATCGGTGCAAACAAACAAATTAAAAACAGCCAACTTATAGTCGTTTTTTAAAAAAGTGGTTTCTAAATGAGGCATTTTTAGCCATAACGGTTTACTTTAGAAGAAATATGTGAATGAGTAAAAAATTTCCTATTAAATTTCACTAAGGGTCACCAAATACCAGAAATCGGTATATATAATATATATCACTACAATATCGGTGCAAATAAACAAATTAAAAATAGCCGACTTATAGTCGTTTTTTTTTTAAAGTGTTTTCTAAATGAGGCATTTTCGGACATAACGGTTTACATTAGAAGCAAAATGTTAATGAACAAAAAATTCCCTACTAAATTTCACTAAGGGTCACCGAACACAAGAAATCGGTATATATAATCTATATCACTATAATATCGGTGCAAATAAACAAATTAAAAATAGCCGACTTATAGTCGTTTTTTTAAAAAAAGTGTTTTCTAAATGAGGCATTTTTGGACATAACGGTTCACATTAGAAGCGAAAAGTGAATGAACAAAAAAATCCCTGTTAAATTTCACTATGGGTCACCGAACACAAGAAATCGGTATATGTAGTATATATCCCTACAATTTCGGTGCAAATAAGGAAATTCAAAATATCCAACTTATAGTAGTTTTTCAAAAAAGTGTTTTCTAAATGAGGCATTTTTGGACATAACGGTTCACATTAGAAGCAAAATGTTAATGAACAAAAAATTCTTTATTAAATTTCACTATGGGTCACCGAACACAAGAAATCGGTATATATAGTATATATCCTTACAATATCGGTGCAAATAAAAAAAAATATAGCCGATTTATAGTCGTTTTTTTTTTAGTGTTTTCTAAATGAGTCATTTTAGACATAACGGTTCACATTAGAAGCGAAATGTTAATGAGTAAAAAATTCTTCTTCAAATTTCACCACGTGTTACCGAGCACAAGAAATCGGTATAATAATTTATATCACTAGAATATCTGTGCAAATAAACAAATTAAAAATAGCCCACTTATAGTCGTTTTTTAAAAAAGTGTTTTTTAAATAAGCCATTTTTAGCCACAGCGGTACACATTAGAGCCAAAATCTTAATGAGTAAAAAATTCTTCTTCAAATTTCACCAGGTGTTACCGAACACAAGAAATCGGTATATATAACATATATCACTGCAATATCGGTACTAATAAATAAATTAAAAAATTGTCAATTCATAGGATCTCTTTTAAAATAAGGCAATTTTGGGTATAAGGGTTCTAACTAAAAGATATATGTTAAAGAAAAAAATATTCTCCATAAAATTCCATTATAGGTCACTGACCAAGAGAAATCGGTATATATAATATATATCGTGTTAAAATCGATATAAAAACAATAAATATTAAAATTGAGCAAAATGTCATAATACTTTTCAAATGGTATGATTTTCTGCCATAACATTTCACATTACAATAGATATGTTAATGGCAAAAATATTCCTTCTTACATTTCACTATAAGTCTCCAAACACAAGATATCGCTAAATATTATATATAGAGCTAAAATCGGCAGATAAATAAGGATTAACAAAAAAGTACAATATTGTTGTAGTTCTTTTGAAATGGCGCATTTTTCACACATAACAGTTTAAATTACAAGAGATGTGTTAATGAGAAAAATATTCTCCACTAAATTCCATTATAGGTCTTTGACCAAGATAGATCCGTATATATAATATATATAGAGCTAAGATCGGTAGAAACACAATGAATAACTAAAATTTCAAATTTGTAGTAGTCATTTTCAAATGGTGCCACTTTTATCTGATAACGTTTCATGTTGGAAGAGAGGTGTTAATGAAAAAAATACTCCTTATCAAATTTAATCAGGGGTCACCAAACACAAGAAATCGGTACATATAGGATTTATCCTAAAAATATGCAATAAAAAATAAAAATTGGTAATTTAATCATAGTTCTCTAAAAATTATGCATTTTTTGACCATGACGGTTCCATCTAGAATATAGGTATTAAAGGGAAAAATATTCTCGACTAAATTCTATTATAGGTCACCGACCACAAGAAATCGGTATATATAATAGGTATCGATATATATGGATATAAAAAATAAAAAAATTATAAAAAAAAAACTAAAATGCCATAGTAGTTTTCAAATAATGCCATTTTATTACATAACGGTTCACATAAAAAGCTAGATGTTAATGACGAAAATGTTCTCCACTAAATTCCAATGTGGGTCACCGACCACAAGAAATAGGTATATATAATAGATATCGAACATATATGGATATAAAAAATAAAAAAATTAAAAAAAAACTTAAACACCATAGTTGTTTTCAAATAATGGAATTTTCTCACATAACGGTTCACATTAGATGCAAGATGCCAATGAAGAAAATGTTCTACACTAAATTCCAATGTGGGTCACCGACCAATAGATATACGTAAAAATAATATATATCCAAAAAAACAAGCTTGATAATGTGGGCAAAAATAATATAGGTTTTGAGAGGACATTTTCATACTACTTTGGAATATTAAGCAAATTGACCTCCAAAACTCCCTTCTAAGGTAGAGATGTCAAAGGAGAAAATGATCTCGATCGAATTCCACTATGGGTCTCAGACCAACAGATGTATGTCAAAATAATATAGATTTCATAAATATTAGCTTGAATTTGGGTGTAAAATAATATACATTTTCAAAGGGCATTTTCATACTACTTTGGAAGATTAAGCAAATTGGTCACCAAAACTCCTCTTTAGGGGGATGATGTCAAGGGAGAAAATATTCTCCATTGAAATCCATTATGGGTCCCTGACCAACGGATGTACGTCAAAATAATATATATCCAAAAAATATCAGCTTAAATTTGGGTGTACAAATAATATACGTTTTAATGAGCTTTTTTGAAAAAATTTTTGAAAATCAAGCAAATTGGTCACCAAAACTCCTCTTTAGAGGGTTGGTGTCAAGGGAGAAAATATTCTCCATCGAATTCGACTATGAGTCACCGACCAACTGATTTGCATTGAAATAATATATACCCATGATATTTGAGCTTGAAAGTGGATGCAGAAATAGTTTATTTTTGAAGAGGTATTTTCATGTTATTTTTTGAAAATCAAGCAAATTGACCTCCAAAACTCTCCTTTAGGGACATGGTGTCAAGGAAGAAAATATTCTCCATCAAATTTTACTATAGGTCTTCGACCACAAGATCTTAATAAAAATTATATACATTAAAGATATAACCTCTTGAATATGAACAAAAAACTAATTAACTTTTTAAGGGGTTATTTTTAACTTATTTTAATTTAATGGCAAAATGATCTCCAAAACTTTATTTTAGCAGGATACTCTCGATGGAAGAAATCTTCCTCATCAAATTCTACTATGGGTCCCCGAACAACAGATTTTCGTAAAAGTAATATATATGGAAAATATTACCGCCTGAATGTGGGTATAGAAATTATTTATTTTTTAAGGAGTAATTTATTACTTCATTTAAGTTAGAGACAAAATGACCCCCAAAACCTCATTTTAGAAGAAAGGTTTCAATGGCAAAAATGTTCTCCATGAAATTCCACTATGGGTCTCCAACCACAAAATTTTGGTAAAAATTATAAATACCAAAGATATAACCTCTGAAATGTCGGCATAAAATTTAATTCACTTTTGGAGCGGTTATTTTGCACTGCTTTTGAATAAATAGCAAAATGACCCCCAAAACTTCATTTTAGGATGATGCTCTCAACGAAGAAATTGTTCTCCATCAAATTTCACCATAAGTCACCGACCAAAAGAAATCGCTCAATATAACAGAAATCCATATAAAATAGACCTATCAGTAAGTTTATTTAAAAAACTGATATTATCCTTTAGAGTCACGTATGGACAACCAACTCTCCTCCAATAATATATGACATTTTCACTTGTCACTTGGTATATGAAATTTTCTTGGAAAACTTTTCCCTCTTTTCCATTTCAACCATTAGTTATGCTTTTCCATTGCCAACTAGCTACCTGCCCATAAACTAGGCATTTCAAATTCATCTCCACTTTTCCACTTTTGAAATTGGCCATAAATTTTGCAAAAGAAAAACACAGCATTACATGACTAGGCAGTAAAAACAATAAAATAAATGCAGCTGTCACTTGTCAAATGTCGGCAGATATTCTTTGGAAAAA